CAATATATTGTTGTATATTTGATGGAAAATTATATTTCTCGACTCTCCGCATATTTTCCACGTAATATTTTATTATAATTTGGAACGAAAATAATTTCTTCGAGACAGTAATAGCCGAACGGTTTTCACTGGCCTTGGGAAAAGGAGCATCTGGCCAAGGGGTTCGATATAATGAGACCGTTGGGAGAGAAAACGGGGTTGGTGTTGATCTTGGGATTTGGAACTGGGCGCCGAACCGGATCTCTCTTCTGATAGGAACGTACTGAAAAAAAAGGAAAATATATTTTCCTTTCTTGCAGGGTTAACCCTAACATCCTGTTAAAGTAGATTGGATTGTATAAAAACAAACCGACTTTCGATATCACGAAATAAACACCGATTGTTGTTAAAAATATTTTTGATTGAGAAAAAGTGATAATTCTTTTGCACTTCTAGAACGATTGAGTCTTATCAAACCCATATTTCTTCATTTAATGGGCCTTTCTTACTGGCGCAATTTCAACCTTTAACGTGCAATAGATTTCAGGAATTCATCAAAGGTTGAATATCTTTTTTTTCTATTTTTTTTACGGTGGTTCACAACAGCACAGGTCATATAAACCCTCAGAGGGCCAGTGTTTTTGAAAAAAAGCCCATTTGTATTTAGGGTTCGGATACAGGGCTGCTGGATTCGAACCCGGGACCTTTACCTTACAGTGATGAGCGCCGTGTCATCGCCTAAACCTTTGCGGCCTCCGACGCCACTCTAAGGTTGAATATCAGTGAAGTTTAGAAACATTTGTAAATCGATCCTTTTATTCCAGGATTCCTTAATGGCCGAAAAATACGGTGAACATAAATTAAACCTGTCTAAATGTCCACTTTCAATTACAGAAACCTAGATATTACTTTGTACCGTGTTGTTTTACATTGTGTACGGAAATGGAGAAAAAAGCTCATTAAAGCCGTTCTTAGAGCAACCCTTTCTCGAGATAGTCGGCCTATTCTCGTTTCATCAATTACACAAAAAGCTCTGCTCGTGTACGACTGCAATCACTGCGGAAATACCACTCTTGCGAGCAGGCAGAAACGAAATTGGGTAACACATTTATTAGAGAAAGAAAAAACGAATTCAAAAACAGTTTGCTTTATTTTTTAAATGAAACACGAATGATACATTAAATGTTTTGAATTTAACACGACAAATCTTTAAAATATTATGTAATTAAACCCCGTAAAATGTTAAATATTTATTAGTGTTATTAGTGACCGTTAGTCAATGATTATTCGGAGATCGTGAGATGCGGTCTGGGGTGACGCAGGTTTTAGAAAAACATTTTATTTATCGTGCCAACGTTTCGATCTTTATTGAGATCAACTTCAGGGCCTGGGATTGACAAACATTGTTTACATTTAACAAATACATGTAGGATGTGGAAAAAAGTGAATTTATACAATGCAAAATATATTTTTTATATTCAATCGAACACTTTGAGTGAGTAGAAATACTTTTGCCCTGAAGATGACCTCAATAAAGATCGAAACGTTGGCACGATAAAGAAAATATTTTTCTAAAACCTACGACACACCAGACCGCATCTCAATCAATCGTTAAATATTTAACTTAAATTTGACTCTATGATTTGGTTATATAACATAATGAAATAATTTATAGATTTACTTAAATTAGGCTGTGATTAAAAAATATGATTTTTTAACCTTGTTTACATATGATTAATTGTTTTTATTTAAAAATGTTTTCGACTAACATAGGTACTTGTTTGACTTTTAATTTGACTTGAAAATTATAGAAACAATTATTTATTATGAACTGGATTTGAATTATTTACCTGAATAATTTACAGTGTTTAAAAAAAGAAGTACAAACCTGGGATCACCGATTTTAATGAAACTTTTTTGGGCTAGAAATATTAGACACGTTTTCATACGTTCCTGACTGTTTTATCTTAATTTAACATTAGTACCATATTAACATTGGGACACACAAGAATGACACATCTACACGGAAAACAAACACTTTGAGCCCTGAAGATGATCTCAGTAAAGAAACGTTGGCATGATAAAGAAAATTTCTAAAACCTACGTCATACCAGACCGCACCTCACGATCTCTAAATAATCATTAGTGTATACATAGTATATAAATAAAATATGATAAATTAATATGTTCCCAAAGCCACTTACCAAACATCCAAACTCCTACTGCCATGTCAATACTGCCCTAAGGTAAAAAGCTCCTCCTAAGACGATTGACATCAATATACAGAACTTCTAATATCCTAACCATAGGTTTTCTTTCCGCTCAATTTCCTCCACTATACAACAGATGTATCCATTCTTGAGGAGAAACCGTATTGATTGGGTGTCTTTATCTTTCGGTTCAAGCGTTTAATCGATTATGGCACCCGTGTTTGCTGTGGATGCTGAAGAGCTTCATTCACATACTTTTTAATACTTAAATCCAGCTGACAAGTAGTATGTTGACAATCGGATAAAAACAAATTTTCACCTACGGATCCGACATAGAAATGAAGAATTTTTGTTTGTTATGAAAATATATTTAAGGGGTCTAATGGATGCTTAAAACAAATCTGAATTGTTTATCGGTGGCGTCGGTGGCCGCAACGGTTAAGGCTTTGACACGGCGCTCATCACTGTAAGGTAAAGGTCCCGGGTTCGAATCCAGCGGCCCTGCATTCGAACCCGACATACTTAAAAATGTGTGGTGATTAGGGACCGTTAATCGATATTTATTTAGAAATGTTCATTTTTTCAAAAACACCGGTACCCTGAGGGTTGAACCTCCGCTGTTGCGAACCCTCGCGAAAAAAAAGTTTATTACAAAAACAATAATTTTTGGCCTAGTTTAATGTAAGCGATTTTTAACGTTTTATATATCTAATCTTATTTAATACAATACTGTATTTTATTTACTATCCCCAGGCAAAACTCTAAAACGACTATATAACCCTTAACTCTTAAAATACATACACAACAAATTCAGAAAACCAGAAACACAAGTCCATAGGAAAAAAGGAGAGAAAATTCGAAAGGCGGGGTTGAGATGGGAATTTGGTGTCCGAAGTCACTACAGCTCAAGTGGTAGAGAGCGGTTTATTTAGCCGAAGGTCGTGGGTTCGAATCCCGCTCGTGACACTGACTTTTCAACCAATAACTTGCATAAAGATTAATTAATTGAAGTTATATTATATATCATTACGATTAATTAAGGTTTTTAGTTGAGATAAGAAAGTCAATGGCACAAGCGGGATTCGAACCCACGATCTTCGGCTAGATACGCCGCTGCTCTACCACTTGAGGTATCGTGACTTCGAGCCACTCGGACACTAACTTCCCATCTCAACCCCACCTTTTAAATTTTCCCTCCTTTTTGCCATTTTTCATTTATTTCCATTTCATTTTCCTTCTCCGTGGCCATTTCATTTATCGCCGAGAATCCAATCCGATTACACGACATTTGAAAAATGGCAAAAAGGAGGGACAATTCAAAAGGAGGAGTTGAGATGGGACGTTAGTTCCGAGTGGATCGAGGTCACGTTAGCTCAAGTGGTACAGCAGCGGCGTATCTAGCCGAAGATCATGGGTTCGAATCTCGCTCGTGCCATTGACTTTTTTATCTCAACTAAAAACCTTAATTAATCGTAATATATTAATTCGTCAAGCGCACCACAAAATTAGTGAATTATATATTATGTATTCTTTGACCTAGGATTACAAAATCAAAAAAGTTTTGTCACGATCTTTGCGTTGTTCCCCTTCAAATCGAGTAGCTCGGGTCACTCACGAGTGTGAACATATATCAGTGCCACAATTCAAAAAATTTCATTAAGGAAAAAATCGAGGCCTGACCCAAATAAATTAAAACAATAACCTTTTAATATGAGTTTATTAAAATTTAAAAAAATCCGATCACATGACATACATATCTCCTTGCCTTTTACAATTAGAAAAAAGTGCCTTCGACAACTTTGAATAAAAGGTCCTCGTCGTTTCGGGTCTCAACCTGCTTTCACCATAGCCTGCGGTTGGGGGATTAGCTTATCCTAACCTAAAGGATAATCCTTGTTTTAAAAAATATTGTTATAGTTTTAGACCTTTTAAACCAGTATAACTTCCAATTTTTAAAAACATTATTGTATTATGATATTTGTTATTGTGATAAACCGATGCTGTGTAAGTAGTAACGTTTGTCTCATTTTTTTGGTGATAATTACATTCAGTGATTTTATCTTTTGACATCATAAATCCAGCTCGCTCCTACAACAATCGTTTTGACTCAAGTGTCTTGTTTTCAGCCCGGAAAAAGCCAATATCTTAATATTTGTAGAATTCTACCCTTTTGTCTCATTTTATTTCAACCCCTTTTATATAGCGAAGGGAGCTAGCCGAGGCTGCTTCAAGGACGTTAACTTTAAGAGAGACAGGCAAATAGAAATTGAATTTCTCCGAGTAATTGCTTGTACCTGATGAGATAAAAGCTTTCTACTTTGTTGGGATGATTGGAAAAAAGGGAATTTTAAAGATTCATTTATCCGTATTAACGTCCAAGTCAGTTCTATACGTCTTTTTTTACTATGATTTTGTAAACTTATTTTTGATATAATGTAATGGAAAATGATTTTGAAAGTATGTATAATAATTTATTCGCATTTGATTGATGTTAGAAAATAAAAGAAAATGCTGCAGTCCAGGGAATTATAGGAATTTTTAAGAGCCTGATATTTTCATATTGAATGGTTTAAGAATGTTTAATACAAGTTGAAATATTTACATCAAAAGGCCAGACTTTCTTCAATGGTCCGGCATTCAAATTGTTGTCTGACAATGATCATCGGAATGAAAAGAGTCTGGAGTCGGTTGTGGATTGGCCGGCCCTCGGTCCCGAAGTTTATTCCTCCCGGAAAGTTCCCCCTCCGATTTCCCGGTAATAACCTTTGCCGGGTCGATTGTAAACTTCCTACGGTTTTAATCTTTAACACAATGAATATACGCCGTACGAAAGACGGGAACACCCTACTTTTATACGTCGGGAGAGGTTTCGGGATGCGTGAAGACAGCGGGGGCCGCTTCGTTCGAGCTTGGAAAACTCCGCTTCATTACTTCCGGGGAATTTCTATTATCGGAAGTTGTGTGAGCTTCATAATAAATCTCTTGGATATTTGGGAACTCAGTCTAAAACCATCAACAAGAAAACATTAACAAAAGCATTTTAATAAACATTTTTATGGATTTTCCTTGACAATAAAGTTCCATTCACCTTTTAAATTAAAAATACCTACATCTGCCGATATCTCATTCCAGTATGTTGTTAAACGAAATGTGAAAATTATAAAAAAAGTTTTTAATAAAAATCAGGGATTCTCTTTATTATGCTTTTAATTTAATTTTATTTTCAAAATAATTTAAGCATAATATTGCATATTGTGAATCAAAAAGCTTTAAACCCTTTTGGACATAATTATAAACTGAACGTTAGGTGCTTTATATAGTATTCCTATGTACATCTCATGTAAAATTTTAGGTGTCCCCATGTCCATTATATTTTACTATTTCAGTTTCCATACATTTCCACTATATATGATATAATTAACACACCATTATTCCTTCCTCCAACATACGTAAAGAGGCGTGCCATGCTTTGGCTCCATACAGAGAGCGTGTAGGCATGCCTACGGATTTAGGAATGATTCTCGGACACGGTAGTGAGTTTCAGGGTACCTTGTTCGCATTTTAGGGGAGTTAGGAGTTTTTTATTGTATAGAGCCGTCAAAATAAGTGTTTTGTGTTTCTGTATTTTGTCTGACTGAGTGTATTTATTAGAGTGAATGGGGAGGGGCTGATGGCAAAATAGGTAAAATATGAGTACTCCATCTACCACATAAAATGAATGCAATGTATATAAGTGTGAATGTATTTATTATAGTGAATGGGGAGGGGCTGATGGTAAAATACGTGATACAGGTGGATGGAGGAATATTGAGTACTCCATCTACCAAAAAGAATGAATGCAATGTATATAAGTGTGAATGTATTTATTAGAGTGAATGGGGAGGGGCTGATGGTAAAATAGCGTCCTCATCGCCCCTCGAGCTGTCTACGTGATATACGTGGATGGAGGAATATTGAGTACTCCATCTACCAAAAAGAATGAATGCAAAGTATATAAGTGTGAATGTATTTATTTGTGTGAATGCCATTGAATGTGTGTTCATTAACCATGTGACCAAGCTGTCAGATGCCCCCCCAAAAAAACAATATATTATTTTTTAATTCGTATTAATTTCTTACAATGTGTATTTAGCGTTAAAATAAAAAAAACGAAATAAAATGTATGTAATAAAACAAATTGTATATTGAAATATTTTTGTCATGATTAAAAAAACCCTCAAATATTTACATTTCTTACTTAAAAATAAGTAATGATAGTTATAAATCCATATAGAATTATAGAAATGTATTAAGGTATAATTGTAGGTAGCATTGACACCGTCATGTTCACTACATCGTAAGGTGACAGATAGGTCGTCGAGAAGAGTCGGTTGATCAATGTTAACCTTATCCCGCGGTGACATCGGAAAGACATTGGCAATTTTTTAGGCGCATCTCAATTGAAAAATAGAGCTATCGATTTTTCAGGGGAAAAAGCCTATGGTATCAAACGTCTGAAACAGTAAATAATTTCAATAATTTGTACTCGTAACATTGTTCATGTTAAAAATTGCTTTCCGCACGTCATTCCTCTGGCACGCAATGATACTGCATTATGACAGGAAGAAGATCGTTGAACCGTTATGCAAGAGGCGATAACAGTGGAATAATCATTTTTATTGCTTTCCCGGCTAACTTTCTAATCAGATCGGGCAATATCTTTTAACGATATCGTCTTAGCTTGTTCCGAGCATTTCGCTATCGACTTACAAGTTTAACGAAGTAATATACCATCGTGACAAGGGAACTAAACATCCATCTCAAAACTGGACCACTGCCAATACTTTACCAATTCCAACCTGGCTCATATCTCATTCCGATTCATTCGTTTAATAATGTGTATTAATGATAAATATTCAAGAGATTTGATAACTTCATACAGTTCTTTTCTATTAATAACTATTATTAGTTTTGTTATTGATTCATAAATTTTTTTAAAATAATTTGTAGTACATTACAACTACCTTAAAGTAGGTAATAAGTAACAGTGAGCAAGGTAATTAAAACAAAACAAAATAAAAACCAAGAGTGGAGATACGCCAAGAATCAAATAGATTACACGACATTTGAAATCATAAAATTTAAATAAAAAATGCCGGTTATTAAAAATTCCCTCCTAACCCTAACCTATACCGTGACCCTAACAGTAGTTCTGACTTCATATAACATTACCCTAACCCTAACACTAGTTCTGACTACATCTAACATTAGCCTAACCCTAACCTAAACCGTGACCCTAACACTAGTTCTGACTACTCTAACATTAGCCTAACCCTAACCTAAACCGTGACCCTAACAGTAGTTCTGACTTCATATAACATTACCCTAACCCTAACACTAGTTCTGACTACATCTAACATTAGCCTAACCCTAACCTAAACTGTGACCCTAACACTAGTTCCGACTACACCTAACAGTAGCCTAACCCTAACCCTAATAATCCTAACCTAGCCTAACACATCTCTAACCCTAATATTAAACAAAGGTCGTCCCTAATCATCACCCGACCGGTATCCCAAACTAATGTAACCTGTTCTAACCTAATTTTATCCTAATCCGTCCGTAACCTAACCCATCCTTAACCTTAATAATAATCGATCGTAACTCGTCCCTAATCATCACCCGTGTCGCGCCTTGGTTAGGACTGTGTCGGTCATCAAGGAAATTTGATAACGCCTGTAGAAAACTTAAATATGTCCATCTGTAGACATATTTAAGGATGAGAAGCTTCAAATAGTTCGAAAGCTGGGCAATAACAAATAAATTTGCTTTTTTTTCAAGACCATACCTTGATCTAGTTCGTAAGTAAAACAAGTGGTCGATACTTCTAATACTGATAACCTAATCATAACCCTTCCTAATCGTAATTATACCCCAACTTTAACCTATCCATAGCTCTAATTCTAAATTTCTAACCTGTCTTAATCCTAACACTTATCCTAACCCTAATTTAATCTTATCTTATCTTAACACTAATCTTAACAATAATTCTCACCTAACGACATAATCCTCATATTAAACAAGCCTCACACGTCCTAACCTTAACAATTTTCCTCATCTTAACCATACCTACCTCGTCCTTAAATCTAAATCTAACTCCATTATATTTCGCGGTCCGTATGACCAAATAACTTCTTTCCATTAATTAATCTTTATGTAAGGTATTGGTTGAAATGTAAAAGTTAGTGTCACGTGCGGGATTCGAACCTTCGGCTCGCCACGATAGGTCAAGTGGTTAAAGCAGCGGCGTATTGAACCGAAGGTCGTGGGTTCGAATCCCGCTCGTGACACTAACTTTTTCATTTCAACCAATACCTTACATAAAGATTAGTTAATCTAAATCTAACCATAATTCTTATCCAAACCCTAACCTAACCTAATTTTAATCTTGCCTAATATTAACTTAGTCATAATCCTAACTCTAAACTAGCTGCAAATTGTCCAAAATAGAACAAGGGTTTGTCATAATCCTTCCATAACCCTAACTTTACCCTACCCTAACTCATCGAAAATCGACCCGAACACAACCTAACCTTATTCGTATTCCTCGGAAACGCAAAAATTTGATTTAGAAATGATCGATCAACCAAAAAAATTGTCTATCCTGACTAAAAACATAGTCATGCTATAATAAGTATTTTGCAGCTTTTATTTATCCTTTTAAATACAATTTGTTTTAAAATGTCGAAAACTTTACTAAAACGTGAAAAGTGATTAATGATGTCAAAATCTGTGTTATTTTTGTAGGTAACTATTCATTCGATTTTCTCTTTGTAAGAATTTTCATGCTAGAACGGACTCCTTTCAAAGGATAACAATAAGAATTATTCTCGAAATGTGTTCATTCGAAAGCTTTTATGTTACAGCTGGACGGAAGGACAATTCCAGGACGGATTACACAGAATCCCGGGGGAGTGGGCCGAAACATAGCAGACTGTCTGGGCAAAATATCCGACGAAGGGCTCCTGTTCATCTCGGCCGTTGGAAAAGACCAATTCGGCCAGTTTCTACTTGAAAGCATTCGTCATATTGTAAGACACAGTTTACATGGATTATTAAGATTTATTTGCTGTAATAAAATTTTCGTGTTTGTTTTTATGTTTTTTATCACGGCTTTGTCAAACTACTTAAACTACTTAGAACGTTAGTAAGTCAAGCGGTACGGAAATGTTCGGGGAAACGACAACACTTCGCATATATTTTCTTTTAAATGGCCCCGTAAACGGTAACGGCATTTTCAGGGAGGCCGCAATCAACTCTGAGTTGTTCTCCTGACCTGGGGAGAAGACGGATAAAAAGGAAAATGATACCTCCAAATCTCTTTATAGCTAAAGTTCTTTTTACCCTATAAGATAAACCCGAACCGCAGCCCTACTGGGAAAAAACCCGGGTATACACTTTATCACATGTCTTTTTTTATTTCAGGATCATCGTGGTGTGCAATCTGTGGAAGATGAAAGGACCGCCTGTTATTCTGTACTGATTGACGGAAAAGGAGAGGCGAAGTTTGCCGTAGGAGATATGAACATCAATTCCAAAATATCAAAGGATGTAGTAAGTTTTTTTTTATATAACTTTTTATACATATAACCTCATTTATATTTAATAAGAGGCTGCATATTATTCAGTTATTTTACTTAAGCAAACCAATCGGCTAATATTATAGTATTTTTTAAAAATATGCACAACGACAGCAGAAAACCATGCTTTAAAATATTTAAATTACTTAGATATTTTTTCTTCACTCTTAGAATCCATTGGCAACAATGCCATAGACATCCTTCCAATATTTTTGACTTAATGTCACCAAAAAACAGGTTTTAAAACGTTACCTCAATTGAATTACTTGAAAGTGATGGTGCTGGATTTTGTTTACCAATAATACAAAAAAAATTAAAAATTAATTTGTATTCATATTTTATATTACATATGTGTAAACATGATAATAATATCCATTTACACTCTAATTATAATTTCATTTCTTCATTTAGAGTGAAAAAGCTACATGAATTTTTTAGTGTAATTATAATTAATTTATTTGCTAAATCAGGTCAGTAACTACGTAAACGAATTTAGAGAGAGTTCGATTGTAATAATGGACGGAAACATCCCACAGGAGACACTCAATTATGTCATTGAGCAGGGTTCGGAACATAATGTTTCAGGTAATTTTAGTAATTACGCTCACGCTGGCCTTGTATTATCAACGTGCTTAATAATAGCACTGTCGTTAAGTATAAAGCATCGATTTTACAGTTTGGTTCGAACCGACGAGCGTATTGAAATCTGCGAAACCGTTCGAGACCCCTTTATGGAAATCGCTTGCTTGCATATCGCCGAATATGACCGAACTCAAAGAAATGGCCAACGCAGTAGGTAAATAAAAATAATTCTATACTCTTGTTTTTATGTTTGAATGTGATTTGTGCACTAACGGGTTGAAATTATCCAGGTGTGAAATTCGACGAGGATTTCGATCAGACCGACGTAAATAATCTATTAAAGCAGATCGTATACCTAACAAGTCCCCTAGCGGAACATATCCCTTTGATAATGGTGACTTTGGGGAAATTTGGCATTCTAGTAAGCGTATAATCTTACGGGAGTAATTTTTAACGACTCCGCTAATTGCCATAGCTTTACAGATGGTGACCAAATACAATTCAGATGCCCCTGTAAAAAGTGTATTCCTGGAGTCGTCAAATAAAGAAACAATGGTGAGATATTATCCAACCATACCTTTGGACGATGTCGTCAATTCCTTAGGAGCTGGAGACAGGTGAATTTTAATTTTTTTTATTTGTGTGGTGATTAGTGACCGTTAATCGATATTCATTTAGAAATCGTGAGATGGGGTCTGGTGTGATGTAGGTTTCAGAAAAACATTTTCTTTATCGTGCCAACGTTTCGATCTTTATTGAGATCATCTTCAGGGCCTGGGATTTACAAATATTGTTTACATATAACAATTACATTTTGGATGTGGAAAAGTGAATTTATACAATGCAAAATATATTTTTTTATATATTCAATCTCAATCTTCCTGAAGATGATCTCAATAAAGATCGAAACGTTGGCACGATAAAGAAAATGTTTTTCTGAAACCTACATCACACCAGACCGCATCTCACGATTTCTAAATAAATTTAATTTTTTTTTTGCAAATTAGTTCCATGTGGATCTCCATGTTCTGAAAAGAACGTAAGGCTCTGTAAAACTGCACCTAACCCTGGGACCAATCAGGCTATGAACCTTTAAAATATTAACGCAAGTAGGCTTAACTGAATGTATCGCGACAACTCCTGCCAAAATACCAAACCGTTCGAACGAAAATTACCTGGGACTGTAAAGCTCACCCCTTGACCCTCCCTATCTGAGGTCGATTCCGTCTACTTTCAGACATCGCTTTCTCTACATTGGATTTAGTTAAGGAAAGAGGCTGTCAACTATTATTGGCTTGAAGGTCATACTTTGTGCCACTGACCGATCTCAACCTCACTCCTTTGGGTTATTGCAGGACTTCTCAGCCAAAGATCCATCTTGCAAGCAACCAAAATGTTTGGAGTTAGGTTGTTTTCCGATTATTTATACTTCAACTTGTTGTTTTGGTCTGGCAGAAGCGTTACGCTTGCCATATTTATAACCCTGAACAAAACAGTAAGGCTTGGCAAAATAAAATGATCGGAAACCATCACCCCCTACACTGCATGAGAAAATTTCTCAATTGAACCAAAATATTGATAATCCAACTATAAAATATTTTAAGCTGTATTACACAATTTCATTTTTCTATCACGTTTTTCAACTTTTCAAAGTGCTTGGATTTTATTGACTTTTCAGCGCTGCCGCGAGCTTCGCAGAGGGGATGCTCCGGGGCTTGACGGAGCCCGAATGTATAACTTTGAGCCATTTAGCTTCAGCCGAGGCTTTGCGAAGTCCTACGGCAATTCCGACCCAGTTCAAACATGACAGGCAATCAGCCAGCAGGGCTCAATTTCTAGAAATCTCGTTTTCAACGCGTCGTTAGAAACTTACTCTGGTCGTCGAAAGGCGTTGATTATGATTTCACCCCACATCCTTTGTTTTATACATATTTTTTATTATTATTTCATCTTGCATGGTTTATAAAAATTATATCAATGTTTGCGACAAATATTACCAAAACATATTGTAGTTTTTATCATTTGTACATGTCAAATAAATCTTTTTACCCTTAATGTTATGTATAAAACTTCATAAAAATAAATATGTTAGCTATATCTTGTGTACAGTTGACACTCACTACGTCTCGTATTATTTAATGTTCCACGTTGGTTTTCCTACTTCGTTTGTAATTCGATATAGCGACAGACTTTTTCAGGAAAAGGAAAATTTCCCTTCCTACACAATGTTTATGTCCGGTTTCTTTCCACGGCAATAAACCCACAAGCCTTTTATTGTATTTTGAGACGAGGGAATATTGACGTTTAGCACTTCTGCTATCTACCGCCACAGCACTTCTGTGCAGCATAAATTTGATCTGACAACAGAAATATAAATGCTCGTAAAGGAGCGTACACTACATCGAAACTATCGGATTTTCTTTAAATAAAGGAATTATTTAAATAATCAATAAAAATATTGTTTTAAACAAATTTATTTATTTTCATATAAATTACCATAAGCATAGAAAAATTAACAATTTCTCATTGAAAAACACCCGCCACTTATCAAATACATTCAGTTTTTTAACACGAATAATTAAAAATCATACACTTTATTTAAAGACGATTTTCCCAGGTATAAAATAAACAATTCACATACGACACAGTGTGATGGCTACGTTTGTTTCCGCTTGACCATCCTGAATATGGTAATTTAGTAACTATCCCCATTGACAATAGTACAGATGTGCAAATGGGAAAGTTTTGATTTATGTGTAAACTGCTACGATCTGTGTGAATTTCATGCAACCACCCCGTCCACTTTCTAACGGTTATTTTCCTAACTTCGTTAATCTGTGAGTAATATTCTTCAATTCTTTTCGATTTGATAATGGATTGAAATAAACAATTATTGATGGATATAACCATTGGAAAGCTTATGAAATCTCACTTTACAACATCATATTATAATAAAGAGGCAAAACAAACAAAATGAAGTTATAACAAATCGACACGAAGAAGAAAATTAATTAGTATAAATTTACCGGCTAAAAAGAATACAAATAGCAAAATGATTTACAAATAAAACAAATCTTTTTTCGTGGCATAAAAACACCATCCTTACATTCATGTACAAACGCTGACTACTGAAAGCTACAAGAAAATCCTGATATACCAAGAAATTCTACGTAGAAGTCATTACAAAATTCTGGAGAGAATTAAAATAAATGAACTGGTGGTAACTGACAAAACTAGCAAAACTATAGGGAAAGTCAACTTGGACAGACCCTTCATATTCGTCATAAATAACAAAGATCGTTAGGTTGTTTCATAATTTTTTAATTGTACATGTAGTTTAAACTATCTATAAGAATGTATTTAGTTGCGTGAATGGCTAAGTGTGTCTGAACAGGTCTGAGACGGAGGACCTGTTGAATTAGTCAGGTTAGGTGTAGAATAGTTTTTTTTATTCTCTCCCTTTCTCCTTCTCTATCTCTCTCTCTCACACACACTCTCTCTCTCCCTCCCTCCATCACTCCCTCTCTCTCATTCTCTCTCTATCTCTCTCTCTCTCCCTCTACCTCTACCTCTACCTCTACCTCCCTCCCTCCCTCTTAAACAGAGGTGACCCCTAAACAGTGTCCATTATTGGAGATTTCATTGTATTTTAGTGGAGCATGGCTTTTTGATTTTAATTCTTTCTGTTAAGTAGGATTTTCTCTTTCTCGCATTGAGTTTTAGTTTTGCTTGTATCATGCCTGGCATCCAGTATTCCTGTGTTCTCTACTAACCCAAGATTCTAGTTCTTTTTTAACGTGGATATTATTTATCCGACAAAAAGTATTTGGCTTACGTGTCTGCTCAAGGTGTTTTTATTGCCTAGGTAGACTTCTACCTCATTGCCTGAAATTACCTCGTGGACCTAGAATCCGTGTACTTATTTGTACATGATACCATAATCATCCGAGTTCCACTATATACCTATATAAGTCGCAGTAGAGAAAAGGGTAGTAGCTTTAACTTACCCCTCAAAAATGGATAGAAAATGTAAACACATAAATAAACCTGCCATACCAGGAAAATCAAATAATCAACCTTGATGATGACACGGTGCGTAGAGAGCGATCTGCTGTTCTTTCTTAGAATCAAAGCTTGCGCGTCTGACCACCAATATAAAATTGAACTTTTTTTTTAAATTGCGTGTACTGAATACAGAATGCAAAAAACTATTGTAATTTAAAAAATATAAATAATATAATAAATAAATGGTATACTTAATAAGCTTCCGTTTGAAATTAAAAACAAGAACATTAAATTTGTTCAAACTTCTTCTTGGAACTTAACTTTTTACTAAAATCTAAAGGGTTCAAGGGTTGTAAATAAAAAAAATTTACTGTTATATTTATTCTAGGATAAAAATTAAATAAGGTGACTAGAAAAGACAGTGTTAAACTTAATTGTTGAAACAAAGAAATATTTACTTACAAGCCAAAGCAGACAGTATCCCATTTTGTTTCAGCATTTTCGCATTGGGAAAAAAAAGAAATACAATTATCACATAGATATATATATTACCTAATTGTAACACTTTGAATGAGATCAAAATCAAAATATTATTTGACACATAGTTTCAGATGGCATGTTTCAACAGACTCTCACCATCTTATAAAAAATATACAACTATTTACCTAAAAATAATTGGCTTTTCTTTCGATTCGTTTCTATTTCTATTGACAAAAATATGTTTATTTACTCTTATTTATTTGTTCTTATTTGAGTAGTTTAGACAACCTAATTAGGCCAGTTAAAAGAAATTAAAAATTTGCCAGATACAATTACATTTATAAGGTGTTGTCAGTACTGACTTTTTTTTGAAAACTAAAAACTCTAATTACTTGACAAACTAAAATATAAATAGTATCAGCCTTTAATATTTTAATTGATACAAACTTAAATCGATGTGTTAAAGCGTTTTGACTTATTTCCCACAGTGGACTTTACAAATATGATTACGAAAAAAGAACTTTTTTACAATCACATTCATTATATTTTAAATTAAAATTATTACATATTAAAAATGAAAACGCCTTCGTTTATTTTTATATATATATAAATAATTATAACTTTTTGTCATTTTACCCTAATATAAATTTTTTTTAAAAACTTTTGGCATTTCTTTGGATAAGTGTGAACATGTTTCATTAGCATATTTCTTATTATATTTTTTTTTCAAATCATTTCAAATTTTCAAATTTTTTTGTTTGTTCAAAATTAACTTAATTGATCCTTGTTATTTTTATAAACTTAAAAATAACATTGGCGTACTTATAAGTAAAAAGATTGCTTTTTAACCATATACGTTGTCCAAACGTAAATTGATGTATTCACATTTTTTAAAAATATTATTTAATTGGCATTTTTATTGTAATTTGTACGTGCTTCACGGTAAATGACATTCAAGCCAAGTTTGGCATATACGTGTCATCTTTTTTATTCATATCGTGAACCTTAATTGATTTTTTATAGTAATTTTTGACATATTGCGGACGGCAGTTGTACAAAAATTAAGAAATATTTGCCCATGTTTATTGGAACGTAATCATTTTTCGAATAATTGTGTTTCATGGAAAGCTTTTTGTTGTTATATTTGTTTAACCTGATAAAAACAAACATCATAGCTGTTGTAGGTTCATGATAAATAGTTTAAACGTATTCAGTGCAAGAAAGTTACAATGTTTTACCGTTCTTTCCTTATTATACTGCATTTTGACTAAATGAGCTGAATTTAAAAATAAAACTCGTCTAATTTTATAAATTCAAGGTGGTTGGATCGTCCTCGGAGGTGTGCCGTCCTTGTCCAAACTCGAATCCACGGAGCATCTCGCCCCGATCCGTTTGTAGTCGGATTCCAACTGGGTTTGGACAGATTCCACGTTATAAATCCTGTGCGGAAGTTTCGGAGTCGATGCTGGAATCTTGTAGATGATTTTCTGTCTGACGGTCGAGTTGATGAGGTGCGGGCGGTGTTGTTGTTCAACGGGAGCGCATGTGAGAAGGGACCTGTTTTCCACACAGATTATTCAATTTAGAAATCCAAAACGATAAGAATTTTTACCTAAGTGCTGTCCTGAAGTCCGTGAGGTGATAGGCGTAAAGAAGCGGGTTTCCCGCCGAGTTGAGATGCGATAGAATGATGCATGAATTCGTCGCCAGCTCTGGCACTTGACACATCGGGCAAAAGGCTTGAATGAAGTTTATCGTGTAAAGTGGGAACCAGCAGAGCACAAAAAATAAAACGATTATTGAGAGGTTTTTAGTAGCTTTGACGTCCCTCTTTCTCGCAGCGCCTAGAACCCTCAGCATCGAACCACCTCCAGTCATGCCATTTATCGTTACCATTTGGCGAAGCTGAAACAAATCCACGTAAGATAAGTTTGGATTAATTGGTTTAAAAAGTCGCGTTTAATTATTTTCAATATTACATGCTTCAAATTTGTACAGATCCATTGACCTTTTTACTACTTCAAGTCTATCGATTTGAGCATTTTCTGTCGACGGCATTTGGTTCGACCTTCCTGGGTGTTCGGGAAAATCCCTTAAAAGGATTCTTTCCCTACGTGACAGAAAAATAACTGTTCATTTTTGCAATGAATTTTCCTATATTTAAGTTCTTCGGGGGTTGATTCTTCTTCTTCTTTTGGTTCTTTTGCGAACGATGTTAAAATATTTAACTCTATTGTAAAATCAAAAGTAATTATTAATAAGAGAGCTGATTGGAAAGATAAATCAAAATAGGATAATCCTGGAACTCTTCTATGGTAAGTCCATCTCAAAGATGGAAATGGTACGGGTCCAAACCTTGAGCACCATAGGGCCCTCGGCCCGACCACAAATACATTTCAAGCCAACTGCCAGCCGTAGAAATATGTGCACATGAAATATTAAACATCTCAAAGATGCAACAATAATAATCCTTTAAGACAGACAGACAGATTTAAAATGACGAAATCATCTCAAAACTTGTCTTCAATTCAACCTAAATACCCTGAAAAAACAAGTATTTTTAAATAACCTAGGGCTAAGGCCCCCAAGTCATGGGGCAGATATACTTGATAAAAAACGGGCTTCGGACCAACTATGTCCATTTTGTGACATAAACTAGAGTTTAATAATGAACTGGAATCTTGGGAAACTAAAGAAAACTACAAATACTGAAAGTAAAAAACTGGCAGGAGGCAAATTTTACATCGAAAAAGAAAATAAAAAATCTATTTTTTCGGTTTTTGCGTTTTTCTCGAAACCTACGTGGTTTACGAGCTTAATTGTTATTAGAATCCATCGAGCAGATCGTCTTACGTCGAAAAATACAATTTTTAAAAAAATATCAATTTTTCTCTCGTTTTATTGCGTTTTTCTCGAAAACTACGTGGTTTACGAGCTTAATTCTTATTCCAATTGACCCAGCAGGTCGTTTTACGTCGAATAAGACAATAAAAAAATGTCGATTTTTCTCTCGTTTTTTTTTTTTCGTTTTTCTCGAAAAATTCGTAGTTTACGAGCTTAATTCTTATTCCAATCGACCCAGCAGGTCGTTTTACGTCGAAAAAGACAATAAAAAAAGTCGATTTTTCTCTCACGTCATTTTTTTTCGTTTCTCTCGAAAATTTCAGGTTTACGAGCTTAATTCTTATTCCAATCAACCCAGCAGGTCGTTTTACGTCGAAAAAGACAATAAAAAAAGTCGATTTTTCTCTAACGTCGTTTTTCTTTCGTTTCTCTCGAAAATTTCAGGTTTACGAGCTTAATTCTTATTCCAATCAACTCAGCAGGTCGTTTTACGTCGAAAAAGACAATTTAAAAAAATGTAGATTTTTCTCTCGTTTTTGTTTTTGTTTTGTTTTTCTCGAAAACTTCGTAGTTTACGAGCTTAATTCTTATTCCAATCGACCCAGCAGGTCGTTTTACGTCGAAAAAGACAATAAAAAATGTCGATTTTTTCTCTCGTCGTTTTTATTTTGTTTCTCTCGAAAACTTCTTGGTTTACGTGCTTAATTCTTATTCCAATTAACCCAACAGGTCGTGTTAGGTCGAAAAAGACAATTTAAAAAAATGTCGATTTTCTCTCGATTTTTTTTTTGTTTCTCTCGAAAACTTCTTGGTTTAGGAGTTTATTTCTTATTCCAATCGACCCAGCAGGTCGTTCTAAGTCGAAAAAGACTATAAAAAATGACTTTTTTTTCTCGGTTGTTTTGACTTTTTATCGAAACCTACTTGATTTACGAACGTAATTCTTATCCCAATCGACTTACCTGCTGGGTTCTACATCGAAAACGACAATAAAATTGTTTTCCATTTTTTGCGTTTTTCTCGAAAACTACGTGGTTTACGAGCTTAATTCTTATTCCAATTGACCCAGCAGGTCGTTTTACGTCGAATAAGACAATAAAAAAATGTCGATTTTTCTCTCGTCGTTTTTCTTTCGTTTCTCTCGAAAACTTCTTGGTTTACGAGTTTATTTCTTATTCCAATCGACCCAGCAGGTAGGTTTACATCGAAAAAAACTACATAATTATTACAACCACAACATATATTACAAGAAAAAAATACGTTCGCAAAAACAACCCAATTGGAAAAAGAGATGACTCTCCGGAAAAGAGTTAAAACCCTAACAGTTATATTCTCCAACAACAAGACATTCTCCAATAAAATACGACCATTAAAAATAGGACTATCGGCAGATGACCAATTTCGATTGTAGCTGGACAGAGACGACTGAGCGTATCCTATAGAAATGATGATGGTGAGGTAGGTTGTTCAGCTTCTTTAAAAGATAGTTCCTACTCACAGTTTGTTGGTTTCATCGATCCGGATTTTGAGCATTAAATTCTTATAATACAAACTCACGTTTCACTCGACATGAATTATTAGAGTGAACCGCCGATCCGCTCACCTAAATGTTATGCTAATAAATACTGCAATAAAATAATTTTAAATTAGTGAGTAAATTGTACGTCAATTATTATTTACGTACATATTTAAATATGAGGTATGTTTAAAATAGGAGGTAAATCAATTCTTCATGTCACAAACTCGCGATAACAATAGACGAAATAATTAAAAGCCACACCAATTTCAAATCTACATTTGGTATTAATAGTTCTTTAGAATTTATAAAACAAATCGATTATAAAACATTCTAATAGATGATAAAATATCGAAACAGATTAGATCGAAACTTATCACCTGTTTAAGAACGACGGAGTATATATGAGCGTAAAAAGCTGCCATAAGCAGCGCTGGGAAGACGATTGTCGCCAGGTACAGAAAAACGAGAAAGTTGTAGTCCATAACTTCAGTAAAGTGGCACTGGGGAGAGTCGATGGCCATCCCGTTGTTCCAGCCAAGGAGTGGAAGGAATCCGACTATAGTACCGAGGACCCAGCAGAGACAAATAATATCTGTAAAAAGAAAACACGACTGTGTTATAATTTTCAAATCAAAATTGAATTTTCACTAACAATCTTTTTACTCATTGATGGATATTTCTTTATTGGCTAGGTAAATAAAAAGATCTTAAAGAGATCAAAGAGGGTTTTAGCTGAAATTATATGAAGTGAAGAGAATTTTTCTTTTCATCCCTTGGGCAATGTTTGCACTGTTTGGGACCGATGGAAACGCTTTAATGACGGAATTGCGCCGTTTTCACCACTGAACTTCAGAATTTCCCCAGTTTTCGACGATCAGTCTCAAACTTTAATTATCCGTTGATTCGTACTGGAGCGAGTTTCCACATTCACGTCTAAAGTACATGTCTGTATGTTTGATATATGCCGTGAAATGTCTACTTTTTCAGTATCCGCACGTCACACTTAAAAAATGGAAAACGGTCTTTTAAACGGCAAGCCCAATTGGGATTCAAGTGTCGGCTGTCCTTCCAATTATTCCAAGTCTGCTCTTTCTACTTTTCACAACAAATTTCTACGCAGTTAAGAAAGATACTTGAGCGAAATGTTACAAAACTTAAAGAGGATCACATTAGTTTATTATAAATTAAGAAGGCATTTTACTCTCTCATTCACTCCCTCTCTCTTTCTCTCTCTCTCTCACTCTCTCTTTCTCTCTGCATTCTCTCTATTTAATTTTATATACCCAATAATGTTTTGTCTTTATTACAATCGACCTTCAAAAAATTATAACTGTTAAATTAAACTCTATATTTGGAGGAACTATTAATATATGCATTTAGTCTAAATTTTCTTCAAGATTCATTTAAATTCACTGCCTTTCTTATTTAATTTATAATTAAAACCTTTTAATAGTAAAATGAAAGTAATATTTCCTCCCACTTCATGTTTGAGGTCATCAGAAGAGGAGGGGGAAAACTATAAAACAACAGATTTCCAGAAGTTGCCGACTGCTGACGACAAAATGATAAACGTTCATACCAACTCTTCTCTGGGCGGTTGGTAAAGATTTTATCAGCCTTCCTCCTCGAGTTTAATGAGGGCCATAAATCCTCATTAAACGTTGGCTTGTTACATGACACCATGCCCAATAGATCTCTTGAAATGAAGGTGTTTTTTTTCGAGTTGTGAAATTTTGTTTACTGGTTTCTCTAATTTTCTGTTTTGTTGAAATGTCACAAAGATTACGTCCGTTATGGATGAAAACAAGCAAAAATACTAATAAACTTTTGTAATTTATCTCAACTGATTTAAGCCGTTTGTTATGTATTTTTTTTAAGTCAAAACACTGGCACGATGGCCACTGCAGCCCTGAACCCTTTTGGGTCTTATCAAACTGCCAAAAACGCGGGTCCTCGGAAACTCTCGCTCGGAAAGCTGAGAAATGTGAAAATTCGCGTCATGTGGCCAAGGCGACTTATAGCAGCGTTGACAAATGTAAGCCCTATTTACAAAGCTATAATAAAACCTAAAGTTCAAATGACCGCGGACGAAACAAAGAAAATAATAAAAGAAAAAGTTGATCCCGTCATATTAAAAATAGGAACCTCGAAAGTGGTGGGTCTTTCAAACGGGAAGATGTTCGTTCAAGGTTGCACTAAAGCGGTTATTGATAAGCTATGTGAGAAAGTAAACAGAGACTGTGATAATTTGACAGCCGATGTAAATAAAAAGCGTATGTCCCGAACGATTGTTTATAAATTGCCTTCTGAAATAAACCGTTAAAATGCTGTAAATATAATAAAGGAACAAAACTCGGAATTGATTGTAGAAAACAGTTACATAAAATGTAAAGCTATATTAGAAAATAAAATGAAAAACACCAAAGAAGTCTAGTCATTGAAGTAGATCCTAGGTTAAGGAAGAATATCCTAGAAAATAAACATAATTTGGGATGGAATAAAGGCCCTGCTGAAGACTACATATTTATACGTCGTTGTTTTCAGTGCAATAAATTTCATTCTGGGAAATGTAATGCTGCTTGTCAAATCATACTCTAAAAGAGTGCTCGATAAAAGACCCAACGGGATACAAATTTAGCAATTAAGCAGAATGCAACTATAAACGTAACCGAAAAATTCGTTATCGGTCAACCGTCAGCTTTTTGATAAGAATTGTGCCTCTTATCATGCTTGTACCAATCGAATAAGTACGATAGTATATAAGTTGGAAGCGCTTCAAGCGTGCTTCAATCAACCCTTCAATCTTTCGGTCAAAACTCCCTCGACCCTCATCAGCGGAGCAGTGCGTTTCGCTGTTTGATTTTTTTGTTTTGTTTCGGTGCTGAATGGTTTCAAATAGGGATTTCGGCTTCCTAGTCTTAACATTGGTTGCCCTGAAGCAGAAAAGACAGCAAAAGAAAAAACGACGGTGGGCTAAGGTAGTGGTACAAACTGAGAAACCGCTTCACTCATGAACATCTACTAAACTTTCTGTGTGAATCGGAACCAGAGGACTACAGGAACTTTTCGAGAATGGACCAAGAAAGTTTTGATTATCTACTGGAGTGGAGACGCCATGACTTCCACCGAGTGACTGACGCAATGCTTGATGAAAATTGCCCTACACTATCAAGCCGCTTGATCATCTGCTTGAGTCATTCAAACTTCCTAAGAATCACCATCAATGCTTGCTTCAAGCGTCAATCAGGTTTCTACACTATCAATCACGCTTGATACAATCGATTTACTCAAGCATTTGATCAAGCCGCTTGATAGTGTAGGAGCACCTTAAGATATGTAAGAAGTCAAGCACCCCTATACTTATATCCTTAACGCCACTTTATATCACTGTCATGATATTAACTTATCTTTATATTTTTCCATTAGGTTTCGTGGTCCGATTGACCAAATAAATTCTTTTCAATTAATTAATCTTTAAATAAGGTATTGGTTGAGATAAAAAGTCAGTAGAAATGATGGATGGTGGAGTGAGTCCGGTGTTCAATCCAATGGTCTGTTTGCAGTCTTTTGCAACATGTCGAGAGACGTTATTGTAGAACTCCTTCTACCTGATAATGTGCTAAAAGGTCGAAATCCGGATCGTTGCAAAACAACTTACTGTGAGTAGAAACTATCTTTTAAAAAGGATTAAAAAAGTCAATGCCACGAGCGGGATTCGAACCCACGACCTTTGGCTAAAGACGCCGCTGCTCTACCACTTGAGCTATCGTGACTTTGATCCACGCGCACAACAACTTACAACTTGGGAAAAACGGCAAAAAGGAGGGAAAATTCAAAAGGTGGGTTGAGATGGGAATTTGATACCTTTAAGTGCCTTACTTAAAAATTAATTAATTGAAAAGAATTTATTTGGTCAATCAGACTACGAAACATAATGGATTTAATAAGCAAAATGGATTTAATACTTCACTAAAATCACACGCAGTGGATCGAAGTCACGATAGCTCAAGTGGTAGAGCAGCAGCGTATTTAGCCGAAGGTCGTGGGTTCGGATCCCGCTCGTGACACTAACTGTTCCATTTCGACCAATATCTTACATAAAATTAATTAATTAAATTAAATGTTTGTTGTGCGATCAACCAGCTTTCATACGATGTTGATTGGGATTCGGGTTGTGGTCTTCAAACATACAATGTTATTATATCAACGCCCAAGCTTTCGACAAGTTTTATTGCCTTCTTCAGGGGATAGATACAAAGTCAAATCGTAAACACATTGCACATTCCACGATATGTATACAAACAAACTATATACATATATAATAAATAAATAAATAAAAAAAAATAAAAAAATAATAAAAACCTCTTCTTAACAGCCTCTTACATATATAGGCATTTTTTAAAACCAGTAACAATTACTTAATAAATAATATTCTTTTGATACATAAATATCACAGGCGTTTGACTAGAAAATTGTGTTTATCACAGATCAGATAAACACAATTTTCTAGTCAAACGCCTGTGATATCTATGTACCAAAGAATATTATTTATTAAGTAATTGTTACTGGTTTTAAAAAATGCCTATATATGTAAGAGGCTGTTAAGAAGAGGTTTTTATTTATTTATTATATATGTATATAGTTTGTTTGTATACATATCGTGGAATGTGCAATGTGTTTACGATTTGACTTTGTATCTATCCCCTGAAGAAGGCAATAAAACTTGTCGAAAGCTTGGGCGTTGATATAATAACATTGTATGTTTGAAGACCACAACCCGAATCCCAATCAACAATTAAATTAAATGTTCAAAATGTCTACCTACTTCAGGTATACATAGGAGGTAGGATACCCCCGCCAACGCGACGTTCCAATGAAGAGCTGGTTTTTTAATGGCGCTCAATTTGAACGTGCAAAAAGCGTGAATTATAACACTGTGTTATTTAAATTTGAATTGAAATTATGTTTTGTTTCTTTTAGATGGTCCTTAAATTCCGAAAATTTGCTCGATTTTGGCAAGTGTTCATTTACTCTCGTTTTTATTTCTCTACCGCTTTGACCTATATATTTAATATTACAATCATTACAATTGAGTTGGTAAACCCCGCTTTTTGCCAAGTTGTCTACTTTGCCTTTAGGTTTGGAGAGGATGTTTTTTCGTGACCCCATACTTCTGTAAGCTATTCTAAAACCTTCTTGTTTAAAAATTTTACTAACTTTTTCCGATAATTCACCAATGTATGGCAAACAACGGAAACCTAATGATTCATTTATGGTGGGTTGGCTGAGTCCTATTGTTGATTCTTTTAAAGTTAATTTTTTTATTCTTTTAACTAGCAGCCTATCAATAAATATTTCTAGATACCAGTTGTTTTTTGCTACGGTTTTAATAGTTTCCAATTCTTTTTTATAGTTAGCCGGTGTTAATGGAAGTTTAAACATACGGTCTATGAGTCAAATGAAACCAGCAGCCTTTTGGGAGCATGGGGGAAGAATCCGCTGGAATCATAGTGTCCACTTCATCATTCATAATTTCTAGGCTTCAGAGTTGTTCACATCATTTCATCCACTCTAGAGAACAAAGAGGTGCAG